AATGGGTGCATATGAGGCTTACATTGAGGGAATACTCAAGGGATTTGAGAACAGAGATCCGCCCTCCTGTGTGACCTGCTGCCTCCACCCAGAGAAAGCAACTGAAGTATCCAATGGCAGTTTCTTTTGCTAAAGTTCCACCGAAGTTGGTACCTGCTCAGCCCTAGTACGAGCCCTTTCAGTGAAGCATGAGACTTGTTAACTTTCCAGGCTGCGCTGTATTTCTCTGTAGCCATGTCTACCTCTAGACTATAGGAGGGAACCTGTCGCCAATGGTTCTTTACGGCCCCTCCTCCCCGCTCCCCTCGGCTAAGTGGGGACCCGACACAGAGTAGCTGCTCAGTATTTGCTCATAGAGTGAACAAATGAATACATAATTGAGTCAATGCCGACTCCTGAGACATCTAAGCTGCACACGTTCTGTTAGGGTCAGGAGTTCTGCCAGCTCCCAGAAAAGAAATCAAATCCATAATTGACTATTAAAGTAAAATCTCATGAATCTGAATGTAAGGTGAGAATTAGCGATGATATACGTCATGAAATTATTTATAAAGACATTCACTTATTTTATATGCAAGCACTTAGACTTGAACGAGGCTGAGGAGGGGTTCTGTAATGCAAGTCAGCAGCCCACAGAGGCTGGTGTGTCGTTTAGGTCGTGATTCATGTTAACATATCAGCAGATACCTCTGAAGTGCGGCAGGTTCTCGAGGGCAGCTGTTCTTCTCAGTGTTTTCATCGTTCCTCATAGAATTGCCTTGTATTTAAAATTCCTGTAGAGCCAGAGCCCTCAGACACTGTGGGAATCTAAGTAGGCACCATTGAGGTCTTGTTGGCTGTCTTCTTTCCACTCACCTGCTATCCCTTTGTCTCAGGCAGCCTGAGCTCCACCCACGGAGAGTCCTGGCATTTCTCCGAACGCCCCACACCGTCCTGCCCCTGTGAGTCCCTCTCTTTCCCGTCTCACTTCCATCAGAGAGCTCCCGGCCGCCCCGCACTCCTGGCTCCTGCAGATGGAGGGCCCCCTTGTCCTCCCTGCTCCCAAAGCACCCAGTGTTGGAGCTGTCTGCCTGTTTTCCCCGGCGGGCTAACCTCTCAGGAGGCAGCTCCTTTGTCTTATTTATCCTTGTGTCCCAAGCACATGGCTCAATGGTGCTTGGAAATGTCTCGCATAAATAACGAAACGTCCAGTCCTCAGGTGCCGACACGCTTCTGCCCGAGAGATGCTTAGCTCGGCGAGTGCGTTTCTAGCACCGTCACTGTTTCTATTTCGGCATCTAATTGCTATTGCGCCAAATGGTCAGAGCAGAAACTGCAGCAAGAGACACGGTCTAGAGACTCCCTCCCGTGCAAACGCTCCCAGCTCTGGGGAAATGGCTGCAGTCATAAAAGCGTGGAGGCCTGTGGAATTTTAGGCAGAAAAAAAAAATTGCTCACAGAATTGCAATTTTTGTTCAGGTTGCTGCCTGGGAGAGTCTTACCCCACCTCTGAAAAGCCCCTTCTCCGCGGTCGCTTCCTCCCCTCTCCCCGATTCAGGTGAACGATAATGAAAACTCACAGAGCTGAGAAAGCCGGGCCAAACCCCGGGCATGTGCATTGCTGCCTGGGCCAGAACCCAAGGCCCGGAGGTACAGAGTCCCCCTCCCTTCGTCCCTGCAAAATGCTGAACGCCCTTCCTGGTGGCAAGTCCACAGGGTCAGGGGACGCCCCACCCGGCGACTGGCCAGCCGTGAACGGACCTGAACCTTTTCCTGACCTGCCTGTCACGCCCACACTCAGCTCCCTCCTGGATAATGAGTTCTGGGAGGTTAGTACTTGCTGGAAACAGCACTTCATTTCATTCCACCTGCAAGTCCTCTTGCTCCAATGTCACCCATCCTTCCTACAGCTGCGGGGCTGACTCTGTGTGGACAAGAGCTTCTCTGTGTCCCTTGGGAGCGGCCGGAGCTCTCCCGCGGCCCCTCTCAATCTTGGGCTTCCCAGACCGAAGTAAATAGATGATGTCTGCAAGGAGACCCCAAACATCATCAATACTGTTGATAGTGATGGAGCTGAGTGATGAGGGCTGCTGTTGCAGGGGGTTCAGGTTCTGGCAACGAGTCAGATGTGAGCGCCTCCTAATAAGTCCTTGCCACGCGCAGTGTTGAGATGAAACCATGAGGGGGCCTGGGTGCCCCTTGGGACAGGGCATGGGTTCGCGTGTCCCCAGGTCACCTCGTTATTCCTCATGCCAAGCAAGAAACGTTCCCTTTGTGTGTGAGGGGAGCCTGCCCTTGTGAGATGGCTGGAACCCGTGTGGACAGCATCCTGGCCGAGGGGCTACTGCTCTCATGTGAGGAGGAGGAGGAAGAGGAGGAGGAGGAGGAGGAGGAGGAGGAAGAGAGGGGAGATGTGAGCGGGAGAGAGGAAACCCAACCGGCCTTCACACTAATCCCACGAAGGACTGGGATCCCGGTTGGGCAGATGGTGAAGCCGAGGCTCCCAGAGGCAGGAGACATGCCCAGGATGCTAGAAGCGATGGGTCTGGACTGAAAAGCCAGACCTGTTGAGGCCCAAAGCCCACTCCCTGTTAATGACACCACCCCAGGTCCCCTCCCCAGGGGACTGTGCGGCCCGCTGGGACCTCCCACCCCCACAGCAGCGTGGTTCTTGCCCCTGTCCGGGGCAGCAGGCCTGGCCCCTTCCTGCCTTCCCCATCCCCCTTGGAGGCTTAGGCCAGAGCCCACCCAGGCCCCAGGTGCCACAGGAGCGCCGGCTGCCCCTCCCTTCCATTTCCTCTCCTTATCCCATACAGGAAGCACAGGGACAAGATGGCAGGGTGACTCATCGCTAGAAGAATGAAACCTTGAGTGGGGCAGCTGAGAGGCGTGGCTGGGTGCCCTGACAATGGAGAATGTCCCCCGAGCCTTCAAAGGGCCTCCGGGCACTGACTGTAAAACAAAGGCCGAGAAAAAGGACCGCAGCGGGCGGGGCTGGAGGGCAGACAGGAGGCCGAGAGGCGGCCACAGCGCTTGCCACCGTGAAAGGGAAGACCAAGGGGACTGGAGATTTCCCGGTGGCTATAATTTGCCCTGTATGCGACGTTAGGCAAATCCGTGTCCTTTATGCATCTCTCTCTTTTTTTAATTACAGTTTACTCTCAGTTTTATTTTGCATTGGTTTCAGGTGTACAGCATAGTGGTTACACAGTCATATTTTACAAAGTGCTCCCCCCAACTTCCAGTACCCACCTGGCGCCACACATAGTTATTGCAGTATCATTGACTATATTCCGTCCTCGTACTTTTCATCCCTAAGGCTGTTCTGTAACTGCCAATTTGTACTTCTTAATCCCTTCACCTTCCCCACCCAGCCCCCCAGCCCCCTCCCCTCTGGCAGCCACCTGTCTGCTCTCTGTATCTGTGAGTCGGCTTCTAGTTTGTTTTTTCGTTTACTTTGCTCTTTAGATCCCACGTTAAGCATTCCTGTTCTCCTGTTCGTATGGCGCCCATGACCCTGACCTTCACATCTGACAAACATTCTCCACATTGTGGGCCCGGCCTGCTGGGGCCCCAGGTTTCACCCGTGAGATGTATGAGGGCACCTGCCCCAGCGCAGACTCTGCAAGGACCTCGCGTCTGCGAAGCACCGGATGAGATCTGTCGCTCTCGGCGTCCCCTCCCCGCTCCCCAGGCTCAGCCGGGCCTGACCGTTGGCTTAGAGGGCACAGGGACAAGTGGACGGGGGCGAGGTGCTGGTGGGCTCACCAGACAGGCCGCTGTGCAGACAGCTCTGCCGCCTCTGTCCCTGCCCCTCTGGGTGGCGGCAGAAGCCCAGCCGGTTCTGGACGAGGGAAGAAGCCCGAGGGGTGGGGAGGCCAGAGGATGTGACCTCATTTAACCTCAACTACCTCCCTAGGGCCCTGTCTCCAAACACAGTCACATTGGGGTCGGGCTTCAACATATGAGTTTGTGGGGTTCAGCCCATAGCGGTGTTCAAACAGCGAGACATTCAGAGAAGAGGGTGCCCTCTGAGCTGTTTGCTGTCCTCCCAGACAAAGCCCCGGCCTCCTCCTCTGGCCTCCTCCTCCCTCTGGCTCCTCCCCTCACCCTGAAGCATCCCACAAGGACTCCAGCATTGCAACATGAAGTCCTGGGGACAATGCAGCTTTAGCCAGGCCTTAAGGAGCTCGATGCACGAAAAAGCTGGCTTTGCAAGCCGGGTATGATTTCCCCAAAGACGCCACAGATATCCACCACGGGCCTTCCTTCTTTCCCATCAAAAATTCAAGGCTTTAAAAAAATCGTATCTTTACCTGAATTCCTCAAACACATTTGTATTCTGGGAAATAAAGGTACGGGTGGATTTAAAACAAGTTTTGGGGTTTCATGAGAACAAGTCTGCCTTAGGCCTCAGAAATGGCGAGGCAGGCCCATCGCAACTCCCTCCAGCGAGAAGGAGGGAGAGGGTGGTACCCACAAGGAAGCCGATGTTCAGTTTCCTGTTGCTAGTGGGGTGACCCCGCAGTGACCCTTGGATGTCATCTGAGCCCACCGCGTCCAGTTCCAGCGCCGACCACACTCTGACCGCAGGTGGCTTGTGCAAGAGCCTCTCCATTGGCCCAGGCCCCCCTGCCTCTGCTTTTGGCCACCAATTTACTCAAATGAGACTGAGTCTACGCTCAGCCCCTGGCCCGGAGGCACCAAGCGGCCCACAAGGACGCGTTCTGCTCCCCTCTGGGCAGGAGCACAGCTGCAGAGCCGCTCTCTGCTCCACGGCGCTGCTGTGAACCGGCGCTGGGGAACCCTCCCCTCCCTGCTTTCTCCTCGGATCCCAGACACAGGGAAGCATCAGGCTGGCTCACATGCCCAGGACGTTTCTGAGCTCCGGCGCCCACAAGATTTCCTAGGACTGAGGGCGAGAGTCTGTCATTATGGTATTTGCAGAACCAGAGACTGTATTTAAGGCTTCAACATGATGCCTATTATAACCCTTTCCTAGGCTGGCATGCCAGAAACACAGCATGAATAGTCTTTTCCAAGGCATTTGCCAGGGCAGGCGATTGCCTTGGATCACATAGGAACTGCCTGGGGCTGGCTGCAAGCTGGAGAGTCTGGGGAAGGAGCATCCGTGCAGGGCTGTGTGCATTGTACAGCTGGGGGTGGGGGGGGCTGTGATGGTACCCCCTGGGGGTGAGCACTGGGGCAGCTCTAATGCCACCCAGAGGAAGTGGGCAACTAGGGAAGTTGGTGAATTCTGAATTACAGATGAATTCTGGGGAAAACTGGTGCGTCCGGGGATAGACAAGGATTCTGAGTTCTTCGTGGGGAGAAAGCAGATACTCAAGCCCAGCACATCAGGCTCCCGAGGGAGTCCTCTGGGGGTGGGAGGGACACAGGTACTTACGCTCCAGTAAAGGACGCGTTTCCTGGAAACACCATCACCTGGCTGGCAGCTCAGTTGGTTAGAGCAGCGGCCGCCAACCGGTGGTCCGTGGACCATTGGTGGTCCGTGAGGTCCAAAAGGTTGTCGACCGCTGGGTTAGCGCATCATCCCGGGATGCTGAGGTTGCAGGTTTGATCCCCGGTCAGGGCACGTACAGGAATCAACCAGTGAGTGGAGCAATAAATTGATGTCTCTCTCTCTCTCCTCTTCCCCCTCTCTCTAAAAATCAACCAATCAATAAAAATAGAAATGAATAAAAACACCATCAAGACCCATTTCCATGACTCACTGTCCAAAAGCCATCCCACCATTCTGAATTTCTCCTTTTTATAGAACTCGCAGTGCAATTAGAGAGATTGCATCTCACATCATTAATATCACCGTGACTAAGAGGTTGTCTCTTCTCTTTTATCTGCCATTACTCTGCTCACGGGGAGGAGAGGAAGCGACAGGCACAAAGTCACGTTCTAGGACGATTGATCGGCGGCATAGAGATTGCTGGGGGGCGGGGGGGAGCAGGGAGAGGGCTCCCTTCGTCCTTCACTCCGCAGACACCGATTGGCCACTTGCTACCTTTCAGGCCTATAAAGGTGGTTTCTGCCTCTGTGTCAGTTTAGGTCCTCCAAGAAGCAGCACTAAGGCAGGGTTTGATGTGCAAGAAATGTCCTGGGGAAAGTGCCTCTGGAAGGTAAAGGGGGAAGGAGCAGGGGTAGGCAGGGAGAGCACTCAGCCCCTGAGGATGCTGCTCTGAGAGGCTTAACCGCTGGGAGAGAGCCTCCCAAGCCAAGGTTGGTCATTGGCGGAATCCCGTTCGCAGTAGGAACAACTGTCTTTAGTCCCCCCCGTTGTGCTCGTTGGCCGAGGGGAGCCGTGAACACCATGGGGGGTCAGTCAGTGGCATTTCCCGCAGCGGGCTCTTGGGAAGGAGATCTGCATGGAGCCCTTCCGAGGCCACCCAGCCTTCGGGAGCGCTCAGGTTAGTCCAGGGGTGGGCAAACTTTTTGACTCGAGGGCCACAATGGGTTCTTAAACTGGACCGGAGGGCCGGAACAAAAGCATGGATGGAGTGTTTGTGTGAACTAATATAAATTCAAAGTAAACATCATTACATAAAAGGGTACCGTCTTTTTTTTTTAGTTTTATTCATTTCAAACGGGCCGGATCTGGCCCGCGGGCCGTAGTTTGCCCACAGCTGGATTAGACACATGAACCTACACATCACAGGCATATTCCACGTCTGTCCCACGTTCAGCCAGCCGCAGCCTGGGCGTGGGCGGTGCCCACCGTACCGGGCGTGGGGAGGCCTGCGATGTTGGGTAGGTGCCAGCCCCAGGCCTAGTGTCGCAGGGAGATGGCCGATACTATACAATTATGTACAAGACTCAGTGGCCAGGAGGAGGGAATGAACTAGCTGCTGACGGAGCGGGCAGGG